ATCAAAGGGTCCGATTGAAGTAGATGCGAGAATTCAAAGATTGGTCAATGATATAATCATTATGTTGCAATGTCTCGTTTTGATCAACATGTAATGTTGAATTTATTTTAATGACTATCTATGTAATGTTGAGTGTTTTAACTTAATATCAAGTTGGTGTTGGTTTGGTTTGGTTTTCAATTTGGTCATACTATCATGTTTCTAGTTTTTGTTTGGTTTCTAGTATCAGACTATTTTTGCATATACATCTCCAAAATATAACTTCGAAAATGCATCTCCAAATTTAATTAAGGTAAAAATGAAGAAATGGTTCATTCGAAAATATGAAACATTTTTTACATTTCGCCAGAGACCTGAGAGAAGGTAACAGATGCGAAAAGAAATTCCCAAAAAAATAACCTCAAAATAAAACAAAAGGGTCGTCTCAAGAGAACTCATGCAAAGGGACCCTGTCTTGAGAAGGGCCAGCGTGAGAATAAACCAAAAGGAAAAATTGCCCTCAACTAGGAAGGAACCAATTGGGTTGTTGCCAATAGAGGGAGGTTTTAACTTGACATCCCCACTTAAACCTGGCACCCCCCCCCCCCATTTTCGTTATTCCTTAAATACCCTTGCTGATTTGAGAAGAAGAATTTTCGGTAGAACAAGTGAAATTTCCGATACAGGGGAAATTTCTGGTAGATCAATACTAAAATTCTGGTACTTAACAATTTATGGTAGATCATATGAAATTTCCGGTGTACCAGAAATTTCTAACTTACGAGGCAGTACCGGAAATTTCAAATATACTAAAATTTTCGGTAGTTTCATAATTCATGTTTTTTTAACGATCAAGATTTTGTCGACAACTTTGGAAGGTTATAATTGCACCGATAAATTTGTTTGGTCTAGAATACATTTCCATTTGTATAAATAGGGGCATATGTTAGATACAAAGACATCTAAAAAAATGTCTTTTCAACAATTTCTGATTAAGGCATAAGTGTATTTCAGCAGAAACAATCCTCTTGTTGAATTCAAACTTCCAGATAGCGCCACATCCCTCGCCAACTTGACAAACCAATTGAATGAATTTGTGCCTGATACTGGTAACAGAAGGGTGAGTAAGATCGAGTTTCGAGAACATTTAATTGATACATATGATTGGGTGAGATACAACCTGATTGAGTTGAAGACCGACGAAGATGTTAAGGCCATGTGGAAATCATTTTGGTGTAGGCTAACCAAGGGTATGATAGAGTTGGGTGCACGGATAACAAGATATGTCAACGACATAATGAAGATGTTGAAACATCCAGAATCATCTGGTAGTGCCTAAGTTTCATGTTTAGATGTTTTTAATTTATGTTTGTTGTACTGTTTTATGTTATGTTCATCTTCGAATCAAAAAATGTAATCGTCAAAATATTATGCAATAAATAAGAAGTCTTTGTGCCTGAAAATATATAAATAATACAACCAAAATATAACAGATCTACATACGCCCCCACGGGCTACGTCTGCTAACATATCTAAAGTTGTATAAGTCTCACCATCAGGGTTTACAAAACCTATGAGGTTATCTCAATGAAGAGCAATAAACCATATGTGGTTGTCCTGGTCACCTGTAGGTGGTGGAGGTGGTAGCGACGGCAGGTCATAAACCCTAACACGTGAAGGCTCCTACACATCAAAAACCCTATGGTGGTATTACCCGAGGGTGTGACATGTTGTGATACCACTTCAGGTATCCATCACCGCACTGTTCAGGATCCTATACCATAACTGATGTATCCCTGATCTCACAGGTAGAGCTGATGGTGTGACTCTGGAACCACCTGTCAATGCCACTAGATGAAGACTCTGGAACTGGACGACGGATACCCTGAACGTAACCATATTGTCACAGACACCTCTCTGACAAGTGTCTAGCCATGTGGTTCTCCCACCTAATATGCCCTTAATACAAAGTTGCATCGTCAAATGGATGATGGCCTAGTAAGATGTATATGGTGTCCACACGATATCATCTAAGGTCAGAGCGTCAAGCCTCCTTCTGTATTCCAGAACACCTCCTGGATGGGCTTGATTTCCCTTCCATCTCATTGCCCATGGATCACTAGCCAAGACACGTTGGATCCCTCAGTCACATATGTGTGGAAAGTGCTCGTATATTCAACACTGCATAAATAAATTGATCTCATATACTCAAATAAATTGATACCAGATAACCAGATATTCAAATAAATTCTAGTATACCTGGAATAGGCTCAGATAACTAGCTAGATGTCTGGTCTCAGGCTGAGAATCAACTCTAAGTGTTGTGTACAACATGGTCAACGCTGCTACTCCCCAAGCCCAACATGGAGTGTCTAGTTTACTGAATAAATAAAAGTAGCGAACATCAATTTAAACACTAGACTTATCAATAAAGATAGTACATGTCAACAGATGTAGCATGTACGCCCTAGTGGCAGCCTCATACATATGGCCCCCCACCAGCTTTGCACACAATATCCTCAACCAAGATATCCATAGGTGAAATCCTTGGTTAAAGCCAAACTCCTTTAGAACTCTCGCCTCAGATACCTCCAAATCATCCATAACCATGTGTAACGTCGTTGACTGGCTAATATGAGAAGAAGTGAAGAATGTACCAACGATCGGGATGTGAAATAAGGCGTCAACATCATCCAATGTGATAGTCATCTCCCCAAATAGAAGATGAAAAGATGATGTTTGAGTGCCACCTCTAAAAAAAAGTTGATAGAAGGGAGGCGTCGAGCATGGTCAAGGAGCACTGAGCGAACTCCAACAGATGAAAATCTCTTACAATACGTCTGAGCTCCTCAGACATGACACCACCCTCTGGGAAGTTCTTCAAATTCGAACCAAGGAATGACCTTCAGCACCACACGCTCCTGTAAAAAAATAAAGTATATTACACATCAAACCGTTATGAAAATTTTGCATTAAAAAAGAAAACAAAATATATATTACGCCCTGCCATATCATGTATGCGGCGTGCTCAGAAAATCCTGTCAACATGGACCTGTCTGAAGGTCCTCCTGGAAATCCTCCATTAGTGTGAACTGATGACTCTGAAGACGCATGAGTCGTGGCGTCTGTATCAGTGTGACACCTCGACAACTTGCTCATTAGCCATAGCCTCCTTAGTCGCCGACTCCACTACAACCTCAACAGGTGGCACATCCTCAGGACCCGACACATCCTCAACAACCGGCTCCACCACAACCTACTCATCCACATGAGCAGACACATACACAGTAGCAGGTGCCTCCACATGAGCAAGTACCTCCACAGAATCACGTACCTCCTCAACTGTAAAAACTCTAGCAGCCCATTGACGGGGTGCACGGAGCTACGACTGCTGCTCAGTCAACCGTTTCTGATGAGAACCGATCAGAGGACGTCGTCCTACATGTAGTTTGGAAACTTGTGCCTCATCAGCTCAGGCATGAGCTTCTGCTCTATCAGTCTGTCTACCTGCAACGGTACTGTCTTTTCCCCTGATCTTCATTGAAACAAATAAAAAACAATTTTTAAAAAGATTGAATTATCGAAAACTTCTAAATTTCCAATATTTTAAAAAAAAATGAACTGCCAAAAATTTCAAAATTTCCGATAAACAAAGTGAACACTCAAAAATTTCAAAATTTTCGATATATAACGTAACAAAATCATCGAAAATTTAAAAATTTCTAATATAAAAATACCATAAATTTAGAAATTTTCATGACAAAATACCAGAAATTTACCATAAAATACCATAAACTCTCACTCTTTCACAAAATTTCTAGTATGCGCACGAAATTTCCAGTATTGCTTTGTAAATTTGAAATTTTCAATATGGTACTAAAAATTTCAAAAATGTGTGAAAAATCTTACTTGAACTATTTTTGTCAAAAAATTTCAAAAATGAGTGAAAAATCTTACTGAACTATTTTTGTCTTCTCATTCACTTTAAATGATGTCAGATTCAAGTAGGGGTATCAACTTAAAATCACAAATAGCGAAGTTACGGGGTTACCCTAGAGACACCGGCTCGACAAGCCAAATCCCAAAACTTGGAATGTATCCAAGCTAAATATATTCTACAACTTAGTTTGAAAAACAAGTTGCAAGTTAAGGATAATCAATATAAAAGATCATTTATTTACTTAAATGTGTTTTCTTTCGACTAACTATATTTCAATATGTTATTCCTTCCAAAACTCAAGTTGTAAAAAAAGCCTTAAGAGCATTCTAAATTACGTCAACAACTCGACATAACAATCATCCAAAAAGAGAAAAACCGACTAAAAGTGTATTCAGATTGACGGTGAACAAAATTGATTCTAACATAATTGAGTTTGACAAAATCGATTTTAACATAATTGAATTTAACAGAATTGATTTACATTTGAATACATTTATGTAAAAGTAAGTTGAACGTTCATGTAAAAATTACCCAGAATCACTTTTGAAGACAAAAAGTTACAAATCTTTCTAGTAAAATCAATTATGAGGACAAAATATCAATTTATAACTCAAGTGGTACATTACAAGACGGGCATGCAAGGGTACAATATATTGACACCATTCAAGATGGAAATAGCCATTCAAGATTTAACCAAAAATATATCCTATAACAAAATATGAAACTAATTACATTGCACCTATAATTTTTTAAAATGTGTCACACCCAAAAAACAACTCGTAAGCCCATCCTCAAGACCCGAAGCACATGTCAAATGCCAAAACCTTGTTTTGATGGTTCAATTGTTTCCGCATCACCTTTTTTTTCCTTGAGACTATTGTTGCATTTGAAATTTTCTTCAAAGCAAAAATGACATCAAAAAGAATAATATTACAAATCAATTATGCCAGTAGAAAGCACAAAAGCAATCTGATACACTAGATGGGTTACTGTATTTATTCTAACATGATCATTAGTCACCAGAAGAAAAAGCTGCACACAGATTCGGCACTCCCTCGTGCCTGGCAAGTGGCAATTCGGTTTACATCCCGGACGATGATGTCCTGTTTATCCTCTGAGCACCTAATTTTGGAGCAGCAGGTTTGGCTCCCCGACCTCTGCCAGATGATAAAGGCTTGGCCCTTGTAGTGGGCGCAGGAGCTGCAATGGCCGCCCAGGGATCATCATCATCAGTTGCAGCTGATTTCAAATTTAAAGGTTTTGATGTTTTTGGAGCAGGAGCTGCTATGGCACCCCACAAATCATCATCTTCATCCTTGCTCAACTTTGGTGTACTTTTGGGTCGTATACTTGAAGCTACAAAATAAAATATTAAAACCCTTTAATTGATACATGAATAAAGTAATGGTGTTAATATTCCTATTGCATTTGATGAAACTGTTGGATTTTCAAGCCAATCCTAGCATAAAGCAAAAGCTCAAAGTCTATTTATCAGGGAAAGGGGACTGACTAAAGTCACTGATTTACTTAAAGGCAAAGCCAATCCAATAATTACTGAAATCGTAGTGTACAACTAGGAATTTTTACCCTCACACCACTAACTTTCAAAGAATATTGTCATTGATGTTATTAATCATGGGAATATATACAATTTTTTTAAACTCTAGAACATAATTAAATAACTTCCAATCTGACATTGAAAATTATCAACAGTAACTAGCAAACAAGAAAATGAAGAAATCACAGGCAAAGTACTAACTGTTTAATTAATACCTTTTGTATGTGAAACTGGTTGAGAAACTGGTCGCCTTTGAGCTGCTTGAATGTTGATAAGAGCTGGAGCTGGCTTTGTATCTTCGAGTGGTTCAAGATCATCCCACCCATCCTTGTCATTTTCAGGTTCCTCGTCGATTCCATTTTCTAGTTCCCCCCAGCCATCCGTTGATGTAGGAGATGTAGGGGCATGGTGCTCAGTGAAATCTGGTGTGGAATTTACACGGATGGGTGCTGGTGAAGGAGTATCTACAACTAGAATACCCAAAAAGGATATTATACAAACATGTTAAATAGTAAAAATGTACCAATGGAAGGAAACTGTCCAAATGAAGCAGAACAAATCATGGCAGCATTAACAAATCAGATGGAATAGTAGCATTAACATCTTTGCCTTGAGGGTTATGGATAGGGAGGGAGATATGGGATGAGATTTTCTGTTGTCACTTCCCTCAGTTTTCATCCCTTTATTTTTCTTCATTTAATAACTATTAATTAATTAAGATAAAATCATACACAGGTATAGCAAGTTTGAATTTTGGGGCTCCAATGAGACAAACCATTTCAAAGAAGAATGAGGAAGTCAAACTCCTTCATCCAAAACAATAAAATAAAGACCTGTTGTGTCTTTAAAGTTTAAACGTGGCCAAACGCTTGAAAACATGAGGGCTGAGGTTCTGGCACTGCACCCTTCACTGACTTCATCCATAATAAGCAGCTGTTGCTCAATTTTCTACTACCCTCTCAAACAATAGAGAAAAACTCCTTGTGATTCATTATTTGAGGGAAAGATTCCATTGTTCCCAATGCAAATACAGAGGGTTATCATTCTAAATTATTGTAATTACTTCACATTTGTTCACCAGGGAGATAGCATTATTCAAGTGAAATAAGTGTGAATTATTGAACTTGGTGAGAAAGTATTAGTAGAAAGTTATATGGATGATCAAGTGGGTGACCTCGTGTTATACTTTTATGACTTGAGAATTTAGTTGTGAAAATAAACACTAAACAAGACCTTGATGTAAAGCCGGCCAAAATGGAGAGGTCTAGATCTCATGACATGTTCATAGGATTATGCAATTAGCTAATTTAATATATGAGACTGTCATTAAGCATACCTAAGCTGGCATTAGAAGATGTTGATGTAACGGCACTCGAACTCACAGAAGCAACTGGTGCGTGATCAGAAGGTTTGCCCTTCAGGGTCAAGGAGCTCATAGCCCATCTACACAGTAACAAGAGTTAAGTCAGAACCAATGGGTTAAATGTGAAGAAAATGCCCAGCAGTTCAGACGTAGTTAAAGAAGACTGAACACTGAAGCCTCACTAGAAAATCAGACACCCTACAGTGATGCAAAGCTCTTCAAGACTATATAGACAAGGCAGCTACAGCTGGCGCCTTTCTTTAAACCTGGTAAGTACCTTTTCTAAAGTAGGCATGCATCAAAAGATATCATTTGACTAATTTATATTGTATATAGCAAACTTTCAATCAATATCAACCCCAAAATCATATAGAATCTCTCGTGACATACGACACCATCACACTAACATTACATACACATGCATGAAAGAACGTGTACTACCAATAAGAACTAAAATAATAAATACCAGCTTCCAGGCATTGCTAATATCCATTCTGTATTCAACAACAATCCTCCCCCATTTTTGGCCACTTGTTAGGAATCCAAGAAATGGATTCCAAAGAGTTAAATTGTAATAGCCTTTTATTTTTCCTTCTAGAATTGTTTGTTATTGAAAGTTGTGCCAGCAGGCACCTTCGTATTTGTTAGAGTTAGTTACCATAGGTGTATATTAAGCCCTTGGGGAGAGTAGGACTATAATCCTATATAACCTTGTGTTCTCTTTTTGTTATAAGTATAACCAATCAAAAAGCAGAATTCACAGAATATTATAGAATGCATTTTTACGTCTCATTCACCATTTCTAAAATGCTTAACATGCGGTCTGCATGGCCATACAAAGTTGGAACAACTTACCCAAGTAAACTTGCATTTCCTGGAATTGATGAGCTTCCCGTGCCTGCATCCCCAGTAGCCTCTGATGTGTTTGTCTATAATATAAAGACAGGTAAGAGCATGAACATGAGGAACACAAATAACCAACAAGGGGAAAAGACAATGTCACCAAAAAGCATCACTTTTAGTCTATATAATGTGATGCAGATATTGGGAAGAACCTACAAAAACATGTGGAATAATTGTGCTTTCATCACATACGAAATTTCCTACTAATAAAATTGCCTTTTATCAATGAATAAATGAAATATATAGTAAAAAAATGTGACCGTAGATGACATGTAACGGATGAAAAGAAACTAGCAAGTATTCCCTATAAAATTTCACAATATAAATTAAAAGAATTATATTTAAGATATAACATGTTTAAAATTTTAAGGGAGATATGAACAACTAATTTAGGTAAAATCTAAAAAATATAGATTAAAAGAGGAACTTATTTAAAATTATAAATAAGATGTTGATTCAAAAGAATGCATTTTAAAAATAAAATGAGAAGTTAGGAATGGTGTGTGTTTTTCTTTGATGGAGAGTAGACTAAGATTAAATCACTCCCAAGAAAATATATTTTAAGTTAATAAATAAAAATGTATTACATGAAATCAGAAGTTGGGCTTAAAAAAGTAATCTCAGAATTTGAGTTAGGCCTAACTCAACTCTACAAAACCAACTTTGTAGGGTGAGGATTGCCCCCACTTATAAACACAACAAAGACCATATCTCTAAGGGACTAAATCCACCCCTTCAAACTCAACACAATGAAGGTGTTGGGGGAGGCCGTATCTCTAAGGGACTAAATCCACCCCTTCAAACTCAACGTGATGAAGGTGTTGGGGGCTGCATTGAAGGCTAGCCAAAGTGCTGCAATTAAGACGACTAGGGGCGAACAGCAATTAAGGCGAAAATTCCAACACACCCCCTCACGCTTGGGCCTCAATGAGCCCGAAACGTGGACGATACGGGAAGCCCAACAATGGATCTAGGATAGGCTCTAATACCATATCAGAAGTTGGATTGGGCCTAACTCATCTCTACAAAACCGACATGTAGGGTGAGGATTGCCCCCCACTTATAAACACAACACATGCCATATCTCTAACCAATGTGGGACTTAATCCACCCCTTCAAAAACCCAACACAATGAAGGTGTTGGGGGTTGCAATGAAGGCAAGCCGAAGTGCCGCAATTAAGATGACTAGGGGCGGACCGCAATTAAGGCGGCAATTCCAACATGTAATCTCTGAAATGACACTAATTTCTTCTCAAATACATACATGATACATTTAACTTTCAAGAACCATTGTGCATCTAATAACAATCAAAAAGAACCCGATATTATACCTTTTCATAATGTTGCTTTGCAATCTGCAAAAATTGATCAATAGCTTGAAATGCCTTAGATCGAACATCACTGTTTGAACCATGAAAGGAATAACATAATCATGGCATTGAAATGGGAAAATGCAGTGATAAGAATGATCTATTTTTGGAATCTAAACACTGTCAAAACAACCAAAATAGCATGTAGAGTATAGCACAAATATAAACATAACCACTCTTACAAAAGAACACTCATTACGAAGATTTCAATATTCCAATAATAGTAGCAATGCAATAATTGTCACACACACAAAAAAAAAGCAATTTGATTAGTAAATAATAAGAGTTAACCTACTAAAAATAGTAATTGATGTTTTAAATCAGTTTACAAGAGAACTATCTACAACAAAGGGGGTATCAGAAAATAATAAATCATCTGCGGGATATAACCTGTCAGGATCAATTGTGAGGACAACAACATTAGGAAGAATCCGAGTGGCAATTTCATTGATGTCATAGTTAGAACTGGTGGCACATAAAGCCATAATGCCTGAACAATTAAGATATAAACGGATGAGAGGAAATACTGTTTGAAGAATTTATCAATCCGCAGAACTGAAGAAAATTAGTAACAGATGGATATGTGTGAACAAATACCTGCTCCTCTAGCAGGTGGAAAGGTATCACGTAAAGCACGGACAGTAAATGCATTAATCAACACTCTTTTTCTTGTCTGCAAAAATAGTCCTGAAGAGTTAATTCATCGATGAACATATGCTACTATCATGAAATCAAATATAGCAAACTATTTTAACTTGCAGATATCATTTCGGCATACCCCTTCATTTAAGTGACTTGCAATATTTCCTAACAAGATAGTAGTATTTGTTCGTATCGCTGCCTCTTCATCAACCTACAAAATAAAATTTCCAATCTTATAAATTCTAGAAAAGAAGAAAACAACTATGCACGACCCTCGCTCCTAAAATAAACATTAGTTTGACTCTATTTCAATAAATAAAAAATCAATATTAGCAGTCAAATGACCGGTAAATTTTAAGATTCATAAGTCTCAAAAAGAGCTAAATGAAATTCTTGTCTATTACTCTTCACTTCCTAGTCAGCATAAGCAATTAGCCTTTGCTCCCAACACATAAATCATTGAAGACTTGGAGCAGTACCTGTAACTTCGACAGATGCTTTAATAATGACCCAGACAAGGTCCTTTGAGACAGCTGCAATGATGAGACAAACAATATTTTAAATTAAGAAACAAAATTGCCTGCTAGACTCATCAAATAGAAGATAAAATTTAGGACGGAAAAAAGGAAATGAACGGTAACTATAAAAGACTTGAGCTTTCATAAACATTTTCTTTTCAATGGGATTCATGATCAGATATCTTGAGGGACTCAGCCATTTTTTTCATTGATTTCCTTTTCTTGATTGGTGTGGTGCTTCACTGTCTTTTCTTTTGTTTAAATATTGAAAAACTAACACCCATAAGTCTAAGTGGCAAAGAGTTAAGCTAAATAAGGTCTCGAGTTTGGATCTTGTGAAAGAAAAATAGATGCAGGAGAACTTTGCCCCTTTAAGTGGATCCACCTGCTTTATTTGGATTAGCTTAGGTCTGAAGTGATTTCAAAATACAAAGAGTCTCAAACCGAAAAATGAAATACAAATTGAAAAGGCAAGTAGTTGTAAGAGCAATGACAGCTGTATAATTCTAATTCCCAAGCTCTGACACAAGCGACACCTCTACTTAACTAGACGAGATAGTAGATTACCAAACATGAATAACGATCAAAGCACTATCCTTTACCTCACACTTTCCATTGAGATCCAAAAATCATGTTAGATCTAACCACATATTGGCCCCAAATCGGAACATAAACAACACTAAGTTTAATTTATTTAATTCTGCCTTAAATTGATATGATTAAAAATGAGGTCTAAATAGAACAGATATCACTTCTAAATAAACTTCACAATCACCAGGGCACACATACTACTGTAAACACTAAAAAACATTATACTAGCAATAAAACCGTCAGAACAAATTTGTGTCGAAATTTCTCATTAGACCAATAACATATCTCATTTTCCAACTAGCATCAAAAGCAAAGAAAGATTTGATAACATGAATATAAACATACGTACTTTCGGAGCCAGAACTAACATGGACTTGAGAGTAAGTTCCCTCAAAAAAGCAGATGTATCAGAGAAACCAGTAGCAACGTGAGGGTAAACCTGATCACAAGAGTAAACAGTATTGTAAAATAGAATGCAGAACATGAATCTCTATTTTACAGCAATGAAAAAAAAGGCAGGGAAGTAAGGAAATTTAGACATCTTATCCTGACTATGTACCTGCTCATCAACAGCTTGAGCTGATAATGACTCTCCGAATTGATCAATATGTTGGAGAAGGCTAACACGGACAGCTCGATCGTTGGAGGCAAAGAGTTTAATTATTGTTGGAAGAATCTGTAGATTATATATTGAAATTGAAATCAAATACATGAGATGGGTCCTGATTAGAGAGACATTTACACCGGTATTGAAATTATTATTTACCTTGACACGAAACTCCTCAGCTGAAAGCCACGAACCCATTTTCAACAATGCAGTCAGCGCAGGGGCAGCAGCTGAACCAAATTCAAGGGCAGAAGCTAATAAAGGAAGTAACTGTAAAAACCAAAAATTACCGACATAATCAATTGAACCGTTGATAACATCAAACTTTAGGGATTATAACTTCCAGAGTGACGTACCTTCTTTAACACAATCTGACGAGGAAGCTGCTCTGCTAAATTTGGAAGCTTGCGGAAGAAGGTGTCCTTCTCAACACTATCTTTCAAACTGAGAATTTCCATGAAATGTATTGTGTCTACCAACTTATTTTGAAAATACTCTGCACATAAATTACCAACGAAGTCAAACTAAACACAGGAAGAATTGCCAATAATTATACCAGGACCACTAAAAATGAGTACTATCAAAAGTTCTAAAATTAGAAAGGTGAATTTTTAAAACTGTGGTATACTATAGATTGTTCAAGCGGCTTTTAAGTTTGCAACTGGTATGAAGCACAGAAGTTTTCCTTCCAAAACGTGGAAAAGCTGAAATCAATTACATTAGAATATGCTCACATTATCACATCACTCCTTTATATAAACAATAACCCTTGATACACATATAAAACTTTCTCTCTCCACTCTGTGATCAATCCTATCAAATCACCCTAGTGTACAAATAGAAGCTCATCAGGAAGTTAGAGAAATGATATTTTGACACACATGTGTTAAATGTGGGGTGGATGGTTGTTTAACGAATATAACAAGGTTTCACAACTTACTAACCATCTAATGAACATAATTAACCACGATTTTTAATGTCATTAACCATGATTTTCTGGTGTTCAAATATGCACGATATGATATCTATTATAACCATCTAAATTATGTTCAAATATAACATGATTTTTAAGTTTTTAAATATATTTGATTTTCAAGTTTTTAAATATACATGGTATCTACTAACCACGGTTTATGTTCACATATACGTCTAAAAATTAACGTTAACAACATTCAAAATCCCAGTTAATTGTGTTCTATGGATGGTTAATAGGTTACGACTTACGACACCTTGTTATATTAATTAACTATGTATTTAAACTGCGTTAACCACCAAATTTGTTGTCGATTTTAATGTCCTGGTTAATATTCAATAATTATCAACTCTACATTTTATTCTCCTATTTATCGAATAGCCCTATGATAACCTCAACTAACTAACTAACTAACCAACTTCTATAACTACTCTTAACTGCTCTAACTACTCTAATTAACCACTATTCTGTATCCTAATAATACACCCCTCCTCAAAAAACCCTTGTCCTTGAGGTTGACAGCTACCATATTCTTTTTGAATGTGTAATACTCGGTAATGTGCACTGGCTTCCATTTTCCCTTCAATATCAATATATTCATTAAAACTGAAGTACTGACCCTCTCTTGCAGCATGCTCTCATTAAGAAGATTACCACCGTATCTCACCAATGTATTGAAAAGTAAGCACTAGCACTATTTTGCAAAAGACTCCCATTCGTCATGGTTGTTGCCACCTGGATCCCACAAATGCAGGGAGTAAGTGCGATCACCTTCTTGCAAAACAACAATACCACCACCTGGGTCCCACTGTCGAAAAATACATACCCACTATCATTTGTAGCATAGTTGTTAAATTTTCTCCTCTACTATCACTTTTCTTCCTCGATAAACATTCCTTCTTCTCCCCTTTTTATGTGATTGACGCTTGGAGGTTCTGTCTGAGGAGGTGGCTCGATCAACATCAGTGATGCAGGGTTTATAGCATTCGCCTCAAACAGATTGAAGTTCGGGGGTTCTGGCAGAGGTGCTTGGATCTCAGCTGTTTAAGATGACAGTATGGAATCAGATTGCTTAGAGTACTACAAAGGAGTTGCGATTTGGCCCATCCAGACTCTACCACCGGCAAAGACTCTGAAAATAAACCATTATCTCCATCTAACCTTCTTGTCACTCTTCATATCACCAAGAATCTGAACCATGCCCATTTCTTGTTTCTCCTCTGGTGTCTCCAGCAATTGCTTCACTTCATCTATGTTGTTTTGCCCCTCCCTTTGCACTTCTTGCTTCAAGGTTGAAAATCCTTCAATAACAGTTATCATAGCCTGTTCTGAATCTCAGGATCAGATTTGAAGCGAATAACGCCCGGTTTAAATTAGGGTCCTCTTGACACCAAGAACTGAACCAACGCATGGCTTCTCCCTCCATGCTCATGAAATCTCATTGCAAATGATCGAACTCGTGAATTTCTTGCACTTCAAAAAAAATTCTGCCCTTGCAAGCCACCCAATGGGATTTTCCCTGTAAAAGTTGGCAAATGCACCCTTTGCAATGCCTCCATCTCCAATAACACTGGCACACCTCGAAGATCTGGCAGGATCGGACCAATTGCTAGGAATCCGGGAATTGGATTCCAAGGAAAGAAGACTTCATTAGAAATAGGAGTGAAATCTTTCCTCCATGGATTTCCCCTTCACAATAGAGTTTGCTACTCTATTCACTAATGATTACAATATTCAATAATTATCAACTCTACGTAGACTCTACATTGTATTTTCCTATTTACACAAATATCCCTATAACAACTTCAACTATCTAAACTAACCAACCAACTAACTAACTTCTATAACAACTCTTAACTTCTCTAACGACTCTAATTAACCACTACTCTACATCCTAACATGTATATATTCGCATATTTCAGAATTAACTACACCCTGATCAACAAAAGCCTTACTTGAACAAATAAGTAAAACATGAAACTTCTTTCCATACTATGCTAATAATCCATCTCAAAACCATTTAATCTAAAACCAAGATCTAATACCATACAGTCAAATGACAGTTAGTTACCAAATATTATCATGCAGCTCTCAGCTACTGTCCATGACAATCCTAAAGTCTAATAACAATTAACTCAAATACTTAGATATAACAAGTCAAATTTTAAGTAACCTTGTACATGAATATAGTGGACCCTATGTAGCTCATTAGCTGACCAGAAAACACATGAATCTTTCAAACAAAACAGTAAACTACAACAGTGTTAAGCTAAATAAAGTTTCAACAATTGATACTTATAATATATCAACAGCACTCACCACTGTTTTCTATAAGCTTTGAAGTATTCAATCTACGAGAAGGTGTGGAACTCAGTAGCCGCTGGTAATCTGGAAGCAGAGACTGTGAGACAAGACAGAAAAAAAGACATATAAAGATGAAGAATGAATATTTCATTAGAATGAGAATACAATTAAACAGGGTAAAATCCCTCTTGATCTTTATATGCAGTAATAAATACAAAAACAAAGGTTGATTCTTGAGAATTCTGACCTTGGGAATGGAGGCAGTGTTACGTAACTCTTCTGTTTTGCTCAACTTCAAACCAGAGAATAGCTCATAAATAAGACAGCCTATGAAATTATAATTTCCAATGATTTAGAGAGGTCTACTTGGGGAAAAAAAAAAGTGAAAAAGACAGGGATAAAATTATTCTGTGACTCAACAACATTTGCACAGGTTCACACTTCACCAGCGTTGTCGGCGGTCCATAGCGGGGAGCAAAAATCCCGCCATACTGGCCGCTCTGCAGCGGCGTTATAGCGGATTATGGCGGAAAAATTGGTTTTCATTTAATTTGTCAACAATGTACATTCTCTTTCCAAAATTATCCTTCAATTATTAAGAAAGAGAAACAGTTTATTTTTTAATTCTCCCTCATTTAATTACGGGCATTGTTGTGAAAAAATCATTAATGAATCTTAAATTTGAAATAAGTCTTATAAAAAGGGACCAAAAAATTATAAGAGGGCTGTAGTACAGGATTTGTATTAGAGAAAAGGCTAAAAAAAAGTATGGAAACATTAAATCCAAAACACGTATAATGTATTAATTAATAATATAAAAACAAATAGAAGAGGAGGTTTGGTCAATTTTAAGGATAAATAGAGGATAAAAACTTAATATGGAAACATATTAATATGTAAATTACATGTTTAAATATTTGCACCATATAGAAGAGGAGGTTTGGTCAAACACAGAGTACCCCTCGCTAGAGGCAGAAGAATACTGGAAAAAAAAAACTACAGGTGAAACTATTAAGAAAGATTTAGTGATTTGGCCAGATATACATAATTCGTGATAAAACATCAAGGCACCGTTTGATCGATGTAGCTGACCTTGCCTGGTGAGATTAAGGTTGGGTTGTTGTTGTTGTTGTTAGATAAGCAAGGAAGAGAGTAATCAGTATAACCTATTAACCTTTAATTATTATTGTGGTTTAATAAGATGATGATTCGGGATACAAAATATCAAGTACGGAATCTTATTAACACTTTACAGACACCTAATTCAGGTATAACAGGAAATCAGATCAAAATAATATTAATAACTAAGAAATATGAAACTAATTGTAAAAGATAAAATAAACTAAGATACATTAAGATAAGATTAAAATATCATAAGATATTTTCTTATTCTCTAACAAGAACAAAAGTTTAACATGAAATCGTACATATGTTCAAATCGGGAAGATAAATATGTCATACACTTGTACAATAACTTTTCAGGAAAACATCAATATGCACAACACTTGAATTATATTTAAATACTTTAATTTATTATGAATAAGTCAACTTGTGAGTCACACAATTGAAAATGCTAGCTCTTAATTGAAGTGCAAGAAGATACAAGATTAAGTGAGCTTGGGACTTCACTAATTGCACCAAAACAGATCTAAGGATTTTGCTCTCACAAAGCTTAATGTTACGTGAAAATGGAACAAGGTATAAATTTCTAAGTCCCTCTTCGTGGAAGCATCTAGTTCTAAATGAGAACATGTTCCATAATAGAAATGGCCATGCAATAGAATAATACTGACTAGGCTAGTCAGAAAAAGGACACGAAATGTCACCGTCAACAAACAACTTAAAATGAAACAATACAAAAAATTTCCTTTTTCCTTTCCTCTCCTAAAATTCTAAATTGCCATCAGAAAAGGGAAACTTGGTGTTGTAAAGCTTCCACTATGGTGAACCCCCAAAGAGTAAAAGTAAACCCATTACGGATCTATTTGCATTGCAAATGGCTGATTCTACAATCAAAATCCAGGGCCTCCTAGTCACAAGGCAACAACTCCAACTGTTGCTTCAAGATCTTATCCCAAATTTCCATCATAATGCATTTTAAATTATAAATTCATAATAAAAAGGAAAACAATTAACATACCCATGCCCCAAGAATCAATGGCCCACGGAGGAGACTTCTTAATTACAGCCCAGTCAGATTTTGCCAGCTCCATTGATTTGTATTGAGTTGCAACAAGCCATGCATATTGCTGAATGAATGCATTAACATACAGGAGGAATATATATTAGGTTTCGCTACATGATATCCTTTTATTTAAAATATATAAAATAAATAAATAAAAAGCCTGATCAAAGCCAGCATAATCCTCCATTTAAGGGAGCATTGGTAATGTCAGTTAATTTTTCCATGAATCTTGCCATGAATATTATAGAGATAGAGCCTCGCATGCTAAAAAAGGACCGGTAAAGTGAAACAAGACATGAATGAAACTACACAAAATCAAACTTCAGTTTGGAGAAGAGACAATCGTAATAGGTCATGAGTCATGACAATAAACTTTCAACTTGTGCGGGAGTGGTTATTTAACTAGAGGGAAATTCATTTTTTTGGGTAAGTCAAGGTATTCTCCACGTGCAACTGTGAGAACTAATCTTCGAGATAACCGAGATCCATTTAAGGGGTTGACCTCTCCCAACATATGATGTTCCATACACACTAGTCCATAATCAAACCCGAGACGAAATAGTTAAGGGACCAAAATATCTACCACTTGTGCCACACCATGTTGGTGGATACAAGCAAATTCTATTACCTCAATTTCTAGAAAAAGGAAAGAAAAAAACAAAGAAATGCTAAAGCTAACAAGAAAGCAAAGTATTTCTATCTAAAACTAAATTACCAGCATCTGTGAGGATGTCTCATTGCTCCCATCAAACTCTGATAGAACATCAAAAGCATGAAGTTTCCAGTCCAGAGTTTGGGTGACAACAACACTAGCCAAGCAAACATTGCCATGAACCTACATCAGACAAAGTTTGTAAACAACTGATACCAAAAAAAAAAAAACAAATAAAGAGAAGAAAACTCATACTTGGTTCATGAATACTCACAAGTTTACAATCATTATTTAAGAAGCTTACGGCTTTCGATATCTGAAGCAGTCCCCAAGCATAATATTCATCCCTAAAACCCCACAAGGCGAATAACAGTAAGAAATCCATATTTGACAGTGAAATCAGAGTCTATACCCTTGTACTATGTAATCTACATGTGGCATTACTCACAGTCACTATTGTTAGACTTCTTTTTTTTGGAAACTCAGCTACTGTTAGACTTCTTATTATGGCAGTTATATACTATCTCTTCCCTTAATTTACATTATTAAATGTGAATTTTGCATTCTCTATAGTGTGTGTAATTATGTTTCTCTTTTAAACTTACTATGCTATCAATAAAAGTCCGTTATACAATTAAATCGTATTTTGGTACGAGTTTCTAACATAAAAAAGACAATGGTATTTCACTAAAGATTGATTATATTATATGCTAAAAATAGAATTCATCCAGCTATCAAATAATGATTTAGCAACTTAAATTAAACACATGACATTGATAAGAAGCAAAATCTAACTCCACCAATACCTTTGTGTACTTTCAAGTCCCAACTCCTTAACCTTATCAGACAATGGCATCACAGGTTCAGTCACAATATATATCGTGACCTTAGAAGAACCACCATCAAAAGTTTCGATCTCGGTACTATGAAGAAACGACAAAATATTTGGATGCCTAACCTGAAGAAGAAAAAAAAAGCACCATTAAAAACAGAACTCCCTACTGAAAACAAAAACATAACAAAAAATAAAATAGATTAGATAAACTTAATTTACAGTTCGTAGACGCTTGACTCCATTTCGACCCGCAGCTAAATGTCCATCCTGAGCATTACTTCCAGATAAAGTAAAAATCGAAACCGGTGAACCGTCATCCTAAAATCAATACCAAAATTAACATCAAATTAGTCTTCAAATTCAACCTAAAACAACATATATTTGATAACTAATTGTTCCATAACAAGTATAACATGAAATCAAACTATATAGTGAAATTGAACCTAAAACACTATATATTGATAATTGATTGTTCCCTAACATGTATAAGATGATATCAAACAAATATAGTGAAATTGAACCTAAAACACACCATATATATTGATAATTGATTGTTCCGTAGCATGTATAAGATGAAATCAAACAAATATAGTTAAATTGAAGCTAGAACACTAAATAAATTGATAACTGATTGCTCCGTAAGAAGCATTATAGAGAAATTGAACCTAAAACAGTTTATATGTTGATAATTGACTGTTCCGTAACATGTATAAGATGAAATCAAACAAATATAGTGAAATTGAACCCAAAACACACCATATATATATTGATAATTGATTGTTCCGTAACATGTATAAGATGAAATCAAACAAATATAGTTAAATTGAAGCTAGAACACTATATAAATTGATAATTGATTGCTCCGTAAAAAGCATTATAGAGAAATTGAACCTAAAACAGTTTATATGTTGATAATAGATTGTTCCGTAACAAGTATGAGATGAAATGAATCAATATAGATGAGATAGTTTATACCTTGGAAGTGCCGCGGTGGTGAATCCACGAACCCCAAGCGGAATGATAAGGTTCGCCGATGTTGTAAGGGAGATCTTTGATGCCGGTTCCAGATCCGCCAACAACGTCTTTGAGGAATTTGAACATTTTTGGTTTCGATCCGGAATCGAAATTGTGATCTGATTAGTGTAGAATTGGGAGTAGTTAACGACGGTGGTGAGTGTAGGCGTGGATGTTGGTGGTTGCGTTGGGATCTGATTTTGAGAATTATGGAGGAGGAGGAGGAGGAGGGATTTGATTATTCATCGAGATATCACAGTGGTGAACCAGGTAAGTAGTTAAGAGGAGGGAAAGGTCACAGTGGTCACTCGCGTTATTTACTTCCCAAATACAATTGCTTAGTTTGACATTTTTACTTTAGGTGGTTTTCATATCTCATTATCTAATATTGATTTGTAAAATTATATCTTGTGTTAAAATTAAACTAATAAAAATCAATCAAAAAATAATCAATATTGAACGTAATATTAAATTATACAACAAAACTTACATTACTTGTAAAAATAATATCCAAAATTTTAATTATTATAAGTCCAAATAAAAACTTCGTAATATTATAAATTCCAAAATTAAATTTGTATATGAATGAACCAACCAGGAACAACGACTCGCATCACACACTACACACTGCATGAAAAAATATATCAAAGAAGACATTCAATATTAAGTATTTTTTTAAAACTAAAGAAAATATGTGGAATTTAAACACATAAATTAAATATTAGGATTTAATTTCTATCACAAATAATAAGGTGAAAATGATTACCAACTAACAAAGTGCTTGGAAGACTTCTTTGTATACAACATTTGTGGTGGTCGAACACGGTGCATTCTGCTTGTCATGTATTAAGATTTTAAGACCGCTTTTGGTTGTGACCCTCGAAATTGCAATATACAATTGTCCATGACTAAAAACGGGTGTAGGCAAATATAATCCGATATTATCAAACGATTGACCTTGTGATTTATTAATTGTCATTGCATATGAGACAATGATTGGAAATTGTCTCTTAATCAACTTGAATGGCCACGGTGACTCAGAAGGTGACATGGACATTCGAGGAATGTAAAAAATGTTACATATGTTTTTTCCGGACATAATTTTTGCCTCAATGACGTGGTTTGCTAACCTTGTAACAATTAATCTTGTTCCATTGCACAATCCATCAGTTTGATCCAAATTTCTCAATAGCGTGATGGGGGTACCAACCTTCAATTTGATTCTATGATTTGGAAGGCCCGATGTTCTTAGTTTACTTAGGAATTATGGGGTTAGAACTTCGTATGTTTCAATATAAGTTGTATCAGTTCTATCAATTGAATCGAAATTTAGATATTCTTTCTCTTCTCCTAAAAAATGTCATGAAGTGTAAATATTAATACATTAATAGAATCAACATGATAAAAATTTGTTGTTGGAAGTTGTGTGCATATATATATATATATATATATATATATATATATATATATATATATATATATATATATATATATATATATATATATATATATATATATATATATATATATATATATATATATATATATATATATATATATATATATATATATATATATATATATATATATATATATATATATATACACATACATAGTGATTGATTTTGTCCACAACTTCAATGGTTGATGCAAGAATAGATTTACCTTGTAGGTATCCAACATCCTGGAAATTGTCACGCAAATTGGGATATGTGCTATCAACAATAGCTTTTATAGGATCCTCAAATTTGGATACCAATAATTTTTGAGGAATCTCTATCTCAACCAATCCATCATTTGGTTCACATATCTTACCATCTCCAACATTTAAGATCCATTTAGAAAACTCAGTTAATTCATGTGAACTTGTATTGTCTCTTCCCTGTTGCAACCTCATATTTTTTGTTAGTGTTAGAACTTGACAATAGTCCCATACATATGATGAGCATATTTATGCATGAACAATATCAGAACGTCCTGCTCTTGGAACAACTGAAAGTATCTGTCTAAAATCTCCTCCAAAAACAAAAACTTTGCCACCAAAGATTTTATTCGCAATACCGTGTTTGCTCATGATATCTTTGGGTGTCTTATCCAATGCCTCAAAACAATACTTATGAGACATAGGAGCTTTGCCTCATATTATAACATTGGTTGCTTCAAATAACTGTGAATGTTCGTCGTTTTTGTCAACATTGCAAGTAGAGTTGTCAAGCATTGGCACTGGTATTTTGAACTTTGAGTGAGCAGTTCTTCCACCTGGCAATAATAAAGAAGCTATGTCACTCGAAGCAACGGTAAGAACAATTTTTTGCTGCGAACAAAGTGAACTTGATAATATTCTTCACATGAAAGTTTTATCGGTCCCTCCATAACCATGTAGAAAAAACAACCCTCCTCTTTGTTTGTCTACAACTTCCATAATCGTATCAAATATTGAACGTTGTTCATCTGTTAATTAAAATGCAAAAATTACTGTGTGTATAAAAAAAATAAACCAATTTTAATAATTCAGCTTGTGAATACAAATTAAATTCCTAACCTGTAAGTGTGTGATAGAGAGTTTGGTAATTTTGTCGTTCCATTTGTAAATTGTAATTACGTTCGTCCCAAATTAGTCTATTTCCCATGTGGCGTGTGACATATGAATCTGGATACGACATATCTTTAAATTCATGCAAACTTCTTCGGTTTGATTGCAACATATTCTCAATCTCAACTAGTGTCAAATTCCTCAACTTTGTTATTGACAACTGCATATCTATAAAAATATACAACCAACAAATCACATATAGGTTTATGACAATAATCAAATAAATGTTCAAATTATATGAATGGACGGAAAAGTAAAATTTACGGCAACATTGAGTATATCATTGACAATGTTGCATTTCAATGAAATTACAACAACACCCTAAAATACAAAATGGCAGTAACAAATTAAATGTATCAATGGAAGCAGTATGTACATCAATATGAAGTTAGACACGGCTGCATTAAGACCTATATCAGTATCATCCATATGCAGATTTTTTTCCAGTAGAAGCATTGTTCAAATAAATTGGAAGTCTATTACAAAATACAATTGTGTGCATGGTTTTTAAATAATACATATCATAATGTTTATAAATAATTTGTATCCAATATCTTGTTGATATATAATTGTAACAGTAACACTGATCAGTCATCTATTAAAATATATATTAATATACTATGAAAAAATTAAAAAACTGGAATCTACCTCTTCTATTTGTTGCTTGTCTTTGTTGATAAAGAATGCCATCAGATAACATGCTCCAAGTTTTTTCCCAAACACGACATGGTCTATTAATTGTTCCAGACAGTAACATAGTAACAAATAACTTTCTCAGAAAGTGTCCAGAACCCCAATCCTTCGCCTCATTTATGGCTGAAACATACTCCTTGTCATCGTTAAGAAAGCCCATTTCGAAGCATGTGTCTCGAAAAGTATCATGAATTATCCCACCCACTTTTTTAATATCGTCATAACATGTTGGCCCCTTGACAACTGTAAGCATCATTCTTAAGTAATACAGCTCACTGGTACTTGGAGGAACCCAAATTAGTCTTCCAATTGTATGGCCTCTCTTACGTGGTCTCCATTTTTGATATCTTTTATCATAAACAAATTTGGTCAAAAAATTAGAGTATGTCAGATTTCTTGCCTCTGCGTATGTCTTGTTTACTTCCATCCAAGCAGTAAACATTGATTCTTTCACACTCGGTTTGTCAAGGACTTCATCTATCAGTTCATAATCAGTATAGTAAACTGGATTGTCTCCCTGAAGATGAAAATACAACCTTTCAACTGCAAGAGATCTCTCATGAATAGGAAATGAAAAGATCCTCCAACATGCTTCACTTGGTGAGACATATCTACAATCAAAATATTGCTTGATTTCGTCGACATTTCTAATATGGAAAGATCCATCTGTCTCATTATCGACAACAACCGCAGTGATTTTGTCACACCCCTTATTAATATACTTGAATAAGTACTTAACTGAAGTACCCTAATTACACCACTCCATATGTATGTGCCCTTGAAATTTCTTCAATATAAATGGGTTATAAGGAACAATGTATCTGTTATCGAGCACTACATTCTTCTTCATCACTGTAATTCTAGTTTACCTTCTTCTGTACATAGGATATCCATCGTGATCAACAATTGTTTAAGGCTGATATTGTTTGGGAAAGAATTTAGAGCACTTCCCGTTTTTCATGCAAGGTGAAGACTGATTTGCTAAACCACATGGCCCATGAATCATATGTATCTTGACCAAATGATACAATTTCCTATCATCATTTTCAGATGGTATCTCTGCTGAAATGATATTGTTTATGTCATCTGGAGTGGGATACTTGCTTGAGGGATGCATGAATAGAAGAATATGTGCATGTGGTAATCCACGCTTTGGGAACTCAATTGTGTATATATATGAAAATATTGATATTAGTGACAAAACATGTATATAAAACATATTCCTTTTATATAAATAAAGTCACATAATGAGAACTTGACGATTATTTAGTAAATACAACTTACATGCAACCACCCTACCTAAGACATGATTCTTTGTTAGATCACACAACAACTCGTCTAACTTAATTTTAAACACCCTTGATATAATATCTGGACGATCATGAGGTTGAAGATTAACTTTGTTAAGTAACCTTTGAATTTCTGGCCAATTTGGATTGCATGTAAAAGTGATAAAAAGGTTTGGAAAACCAATATGGCTGCACATTGCCATCCCATCAAAATACAATTGTTCCATGTATCTACGACTTTCAACATAGGTTGACGGTAAAACGACTCTTTTATCTTTGTTTGCCCCTTGAGTGTTTTCTCTTTGTTCGGGAGAAGACAGATTGGAGTACTTAGACACTCTAAGTTTTTTCTGATGCTTGCGGATATAATTCAATCTTTGGGACTCCATCATAGTAAATCCATCGACCAAAAATTGCTGAAACAACTGTCTTGACCTCAAAAGAGTATGTGCTTCATTATGATGACTTTGAATCCTAAAAGCTAGCCATTCTCTAATGGTAAGCTTATTTTG